GGTTTGTAGAACGAGAAGGCCGTTTCCCCCAGGTAGCACAAACGAAACACTAAACGTAGCAACCTGGACATAAACTGGACAGATGTCCACTTCAGGTATTAATGCATTACTTGCAGCTAAATGCATTTAGTTTGACATTTGTTAATAAATTAATTGTTGATATGCATTATATTTGCTATTATTTGACCATAACCCCGGCGGTTTAAATGCATCTGCAGGTCTTTTTATATGGCCATTCTCGGTTTCGTAACCTTGGTCGTTGATACTGCTTCGTTCTGCGCCATTGTCTAGCTTCCTTGAAACTGCGTTTCCGCAGGTGTACCTATCAGGTATTTCGGTTAAACATTGTTTGATACGTAGGTGTTACTTTTCAGCATGTCACGTCGACGAAGTTATCAATTAGCTGCACAGTTTCCGTCTCGTAGCACCATTTACCGTGCAGCGAATAGAATGACATCAGGATTCAGCTACGAAGAGGTGCTTCTGTTGTCAGAAGCTAAATGACAGAAGGGTAAGAGCATCTTTAACATATCTTAAATATGATTGCTTACACAGTTCAGCCACTTGCACACGTTATCAACCGCAGTGAAGATGATAGGGACCCCCGATGAATTGGTACATAACTTGAAAAAATTGATCGCAAAATCTCAAGCACCTGCGTCTTTTGTTCGTCCGCTGTTGTGCCTTGTGCAGCCGTGGATGCCATTTTTGCCAAGGATTACCGGACGTTGATGTGCACCCCACGGACCTCCCGCATCCGCGTTGTTTCACCGGGAACTTACGGTCACGTAGGTCTGCTGAGAGGTTTACAGCGTGCATGCTCTGCTATTTCGCTCGCCGCTGATGACACTGTTGACTATCAGTTGCATATCGACGGGTTTAAACCTTTTAATGCATCCAAGATGCATGTATGGCCAATCTTGTGCCGTGTCATAAAGCCAGTGATCACGAAGCCATTCATTGTTTGTGTTTATGGTGGGACCTCGCAGCCGAATGACGTGGACGATTACTTGTACGACACAATTAATGAGATACGTACTTTGCAACGCCAAGGATTATTCAAGCTTAAAGCCGTTATCTGTGATACCCCTGCACGCGCGTATGTGAAATGAAAAAAGAACATTCGGGTTATTACAGCTGTGACAAATGCACCCAACGTGGTGAGTATATGAGCCGCAAGGTAACGTACCCACTTACTGATAGCACACTACGGACTAATGCGTCCGTCCGAAGGAATGATAGCCAACCGTCGCCTTTTGCTGCTTTGCATTTCGATTTGGTTGAGGACTTCCCAATTGACTATATGCATTCAGTATGTTTGGGTGTTATGCGCAGAATGATAAAAAACTGGCTTACTTCGCCCGTGGACAGTGGATTTCGACTGCGCAGAGATCGATTGAGTTTAGCAAACGAACGGTTGCATGAGTTCGGGCCTTCCTGGACATCGGACTTTCCACGTAAGCTTCGATCACTGGATGAATACCGATCTTGGAAGGCAACTGAGTTGCGTCAGTTTTTGCTATACGCCGGACCAGCTTGTTTAATTGGGATATTGCCTGACGCTTTCTGGCAAAACTTTATAGATCTCTCATTTGCTATTTATATTGTGTGCCACCCTCACCTTCACACTGCCTTTTTTGATTTTCTTTCCCTTTAATTCACGTATTTTTACATGATTACTTTGATCTTCATGGTCCCAGTGAGATGACGTGGAACATACACTCACTGGTTCATCTTCCCGCTGACGTACGAAAGATGGGGACTTTAGACAGCTTCTCAGCATTTCCCTTCGAGTCTCACTTGTTTTCCATCAAGCGCAAGATTCACAATTCCCCGCGTCCGGTTGCTCAAATCATGCGGCGTACGTCGGAAGAGGAACAGCTTCCTCCTACTTCCAGCAACGCAAGCACCGTTGGAAATGTAGAGATGTGCACATATAAGGGTCAGAAGGCGTTTTGTTTGCACGGCATTTTGTTTTCCACTGTGAAGCCGGATAACGTGGTCATCATCGATGCCAAACCCAGAGTACTGACAGAAGTGTTTGTGAATGTGTCCGGGAACATTGTCGTGCAATGCCGGGAATTTATGCATCTTCGTAGTATGTTCACGCATAGCATGGATTCCTCAACGGCGTACATCTTCCGTGCATCGCAGTTGTCAACTGAGGTATGTACCTTCTCTGTCTGTCATATTCTCTTTAAGTGCATTGCTTTACCCTTGAACGATTTTCTTGTAATTTACCCTATGCCACACAGTTATACACTTTAACTACTAGCGTCTTTCATTTTCAGCAATGATGGCTTTTCAAGGATACAGCGTTGTCAACTTCCTTGACTCCGAGGATTTAATAACTATTGTCAGTAACACTTGGCTTAGAGAAGAAGGTTCGTACGCTCAAATACCTTCAGTGCGGGGTACGCACTACTATGCAGGGGGTGAAAAATCACACTGCGCCGGATGTCGATGTGGTTAACACTGCCGTGTCCATAATCGTTAGCACTTGTAAGTATTTCTCTTATCTTAACCCACCTAGTTAGTTAGCTTCCAGCATGCCCGAGAAATGGAACGGCAATCTGAGCGCGGGATGCTTCCATCGACAGACGATACAATTCCCATGGGCCTTCCAGCTAAGCGTGCAATGTGAGTATTGTGTTTTTTATTTCCCCTTAGACGCCGGCCCGTCCGTTCGAGCTCCGATGACGAGGATGCCGCGCGTCCAAGCAAACCCAAAAGGCCTTCTGCAGCAACCTACGCACGTGCGCCCTCCTCTCTGTTCAGTGGCATTAGTCCATCACGTCCAGGACCATCAACAAGGCAACCGTAAGTATCGATTTCATACTGCCCCTATTAAACATAAAGCGCGCCACCGGTTATTGCTGACGTCCCACCAAGCAATCTGGATGTGCTGCACGAACTGCAGGCCATAAAATGTAAGACGCCACGGATGTATTGCATTGCACTCAGCCTTATTTTTAGATGAGTTGTGTCTCATTCGATCAGAATTGGTCGACCATCGTCGCATATCCAAAGCGATGTTGCAAATGCTACAACGACAATCCCAAAGTGTTGCACCGGGACTATCTCTGCCATTCATCTCTCTCAGTGAGCTAAAGAGATACGATGAACGGCTGAAGGACCCGGATTTCAAAATCAGAGTCGTAAGTTCGTCTAATTATTCAAATACTTTAGGTCAACCATTTATGTGCTGTGCACGGTGATAACATACAACTCTTCGTCCGGGGTACCATGGAGCGGCTAATGACAAGATCAGTTGCCGCGGAGATAAATTACTCCGGTGCTAGAGGTTCCTTTGCATTCAGGCGAACAAATATGAACGGCCTTGTACAAGGTAGGTTGAAATGCAGTAATCCATAAAAACTACCAAGGCCTCATTCGGCAACGCAAGGGTGATGCATCCTCGGATGCTAACATTACACGGCACATCAAAACGTGGTTGCATTCTGCACGGCACAAAAGACCGCCGGTTGAGCAAACTAAAGTATGCAGTGCGAATGAGGTGAGTCCCCTGCTTCCTTAGGCACATCTTTAGCCTCCTACGTTGACACTCGAGGAAGCAGATTAAGAATATTGACTATGCGGCTTTCTGCTACTAACGCTCTTTGTACTGCACCCCTTCATGTATATATAGCATTCCTATACCCCGGTTTTAATTTTCTTTCGCCTTGTGATGTCAGGTGCGCGGTAAGAGCGGTTTCCTTTTCTGGCCAACAGCTTTGAGTCGCCGCCTAGGTGGGTTCCCAAGTCCAGAAACTACCGCAACTGGTAGCGGGTGAACACTAGGTCCGAGTCGTCCATATATTCGTTAGGCGCATGGTGCGTTCAAGTGTGTTGTCCGTATTCGGATACCCATGGGAGGCAATGACGGGATCTGGACCAACCGGATTGTCACGCATAGTGGTGAATTTCTATTAGTCAACGCTAGCATCATCTTCATTGGTCCAACGTAAACTGGACAGGAACCCTTTTTAGCCGTCTCACGGTAATACTTCCTGTCCAGTTTAGCCTAATGCTCTCATAGGAACGTTTAGGATGCTGAACTGGACAGGACCTGGACATGTGCTACCAGGGCCAGTTGAAATTACTTCACAACATCCTCTAACGCTTTGTGTTTACTATAAAAGCAGCGAAAATGCTATCAAAGGATCCGGAATCGTCCACCATTGCCTCGCTTCTAATGTGCGCCAGAAGCATCGCTCTTCTACTGAAGCCCACTACAACCGTGTTTTCATGAAACTGAAAAGTGTCCATGCTTATTATCCCTTTCAAGATATTCTTGCTGCATCGTGTGAAGCGCCTTGGCGTACCCAACCAACAAGGCCCAATTGGGTGCCATCTTGAATTGTGCGGATGGCTGGAATCACTTTTTGTAAGGAACGCATTCGCTGGCTGAGTAGTGGAACAGCTGTGAATTAAGAGTTTTCCTGAAATGTGGGGAGCTCAGTCCAGCTCATTGGATCATCGTCGTCTTACCTCACTATGGTTTCGTGTGAGTTACTGCGTTAGGTATTCGGTCGCTGCTGCCCACGTGCCGTTCGTTTGCAGCCGGCATTTCTCGTCGGTGCCTCGAACTTGCCCTACTGAACATCTTGCAGAGACTGTGCTTATGGTCTGCTCGTAAATGCCACACATAAACCCCTTTTCTTATTGCTCTGCTAGACTCCGACGTAATATCTCAAGCGTATAAGCTTTACCTCTAACTTTTTTTGGCGTTCGAAAGAATAACCCACACGTGTGTGGAACCAATAGTGTGAGATGTCGAGTATAAACTTAAGCCCAACCTTAACCGTCAATCCATAATCTTCTGTATTATCAATAATCACTTTAGAACCCAGTTTCTAATGCAGGATAAAATAAGCAAACTCTAATCCCAAGTGCAGCTACAACTCAGCAACTTACCTTGCCCGTAATCCTACCCATTTGCACCCGCGAATTCTACGGTCCGGGACTGATTGGACTACGTAGTCCACTGCGGTCGAAGGATGGTTCTAGTGTTTATCATTTTTGTAATTTCTCTGACTTCCGCGACGTACGACGTTAGAGATGAGTCAGCGTTCAAAATTACTTGGTCGGTTGACCGTAGTCTATCAGAGGCTGAACGCAAGTCTGTACAGTTAAGTACCACACATGGGGAAAAATATCACTGTTTTCTTCCCCTTATTGCTAGCACGGAGTATAAAGTGACAGACTCTCCAAATTCTACTGCTGATTTATTTGAAGCTATGAAAAAACTGTTCAAATCCCACATTTGCTACACCCGCTCTGAAACTTACTGGAACTATGAATTATGCCACGGAACACATATTCGTCAGTTCCATGAAGAACTCCTACCAGATAAGGTACATATGTGTGTAATGTTGCAGTCGTTGCTCTGTAGAGCAGCAAAACTCAGGAATATTTTCTTGGTTATTTCTCTGATCGTGAGTTATCTTTCGGTTGAACAATTTTTGCTTTCTAGCTGATTACCCCCAGTTTGAGACTAACTCCCGCCAGGTTAGCGTGCTTTCGTTTTGTCATTTTCCATTAGCCTCCGACTATTCTTCTCGGCGAATCTATGTATCCCTACCTTTTGGTTAACTTTACTAACGGCACCCCATGTGATCTCACTAACTTCTACCGTATGAGCTCTGTCTTGTATGTCTGCATCGAAGAAGAGGAGGGAAGAATAATTCAGGTTTCTGAGGTCGAATCCTGTCATTATCAGTTGGTGTTCGCCACGAGACACCTCTGCGGGCATCCGTCTTTTAAGGTAAGCATGTAGACGGTAGTGGGGATCAAATATCTTCCCGAGTTTTGTCCATTATTCATCATTATGAGTGATGTTACTTAAGCATTTTTCTAGACTTCTCAGCTTTGTCAGACTGCTTTAAGTAGTCAGTTTACATTAAATTCCAACATACTTATATCAGTGTGGCTTGTGGCCAAAATATGCATTCGACTTTTGCAATGTCGCTTGGTACTAACTACTTAAGTTTGATCTAGTTTAGTTCGTTTACACTGTAATGAAATGTTGTATAACTTGACAGTCTTCCCACAGCATCAAGCTAGACAATTGCCGGCCTGTGGCCGAAAGGCAAAGGCGTCTACCTCTCAACCCGGAGGTCGCGGGTTCAGGCTTACGTAGGGGACCGGGTGAGCATCGCATTAACTTTAGCTTTCACGCGACTGTTTCTGGTTACGTTGCTGCAAAGCGGAGCGTCGGTACGACGCGCTAGCGCACTGCTGATGATTTTTTAGTGAGACATTGTCTAATCCATTGAGCTATACTGGATGTAACATTCGATTGTCTTAAAACATGTTTTTGCCACCTTGGTCATGGTTTGTAAACCAAGTGAAGTTAGTTTCATACTCTTCCATATGAATGATCCATACGAGGATGATATCGCTTCACGAGCCTTATGAATATTCTTCTACCTCGTCACCAAAAGCTTTGGTTGGGAACTCTGACTTCTTTTTGTAACTAGGTAAATGTACCCTACTATTCTACCAGGCTATATACGCAGGCAAACGCATCTAGCCGTGGTCTTATTGTGGATCAGTCTGCAAAGGTTGAAAAATTATCACCATGTCTTCACTAGTCTGCATGCCCAAACAATAGCAGCTCGCTTGTAATAATGCCTTGATGAGCGATCGATGCCGTTACGTTTTGCTCTCCACAGCTTCAGGACCGCGATTGTTGCAGGCGAGGTGGTTACATAATTTGTTACCATCTGTTCTGGATGCTAATTCCTAATTCCGATCGCACCCTAGATCTCTGATGGATTTTGTCTTTGGCCGAGAGGCACAGTAACTCGCTACTTAGTTGGCTGACGAAAATCTGCTGCATTTAGAAATGCCTTACCTAATGCTGGTCGTACCATGGTTTCCATTTCACCAGTTTTAGTCTACTTTGGAATGTACAACCTCGCAGTATCCCTGGCCCGCACACGCCTGGAATTTGGGGCGTCAGCGTACCATCCGTGTGACGCTTCGGCATGCTACTGACGCCCTTACATAAGTCACATAATTACTCTGTGTCGTTGCTTGAAAAGCGTCACGCGTACAATACATCGACCGCGTTCCGACGTTTCAACTTAGCATTTCATCCAGTCGGTCGCAACTATTCGATTTACTCGTCTGCAACTATCCCATCATATATCATAACATATCAGATCCTTTAGGATACGGCCTGTATCATGAAACATGTCATTTTAGTTGTCCTACTGTCAAGCACCGACCGCGCTTGGATAAACGGTAGGTTTTTGAAGCATGACAAAAGCAAAGTTTATTAGGTTTGCTCATTTTGCGCATTATCCAACTGAGTAATTTAGCACTAAAGTTGATGTGACACAGCAGCTGAGATGCTGTTCGATGGAAAATGCTGACAGAATTACGCGAACTTCATCGCCTCACTGTTTGGTACTTGTGAGCCGCAATGTTGGACCACTGACAAACTCCTGAGTGACTCATCCTGTGTGACACAACTGCGCCCCCAAACTGAAAACTTTTATGTGGTCGCCGCTGAAACACCAGCAGAGTATTCTCTTTGGTTACCTAGCCTGTGTGCACATGGCCGTGGTGATGATTGCGCTTTTTCACGAAAACGGGAATCGGTCCCTTGATACATTTGACCGCCACTGATCGCTTAGCGGTGCTAGTGTCGGATATCGCCGATAAGCTCGGAAGAACGTGGTGCACGTTTAAGTAGCCAGTGTTGATCTGGGTACTTCGTTAGCTCAGCTGTTGAAGTAGAGTAAGCTACACTGGTTTGGTTGCATGCTACCTTTGCCGTCCACTGCTTACTAATGATAGTTTTAGGATCCAGGGTGCCAGCCATTGATCTGACAGATGAACATGAAGTCAACGGTCGATAGATTATAGTCCACTGGCTAGTTATGCCTCATAGATGAGAGTCCGCGTGACTCATTAAGCTGTTGTCCGAAAACGTCATGGAAAAGTTTCGCAACTGACACGAGTGACTTGTTTGCTGTCTTTTAAACTTATGTCTTACTGAGTTGCCATTCGAGTTCCGCTGATTGCGGGATGGGGATTCATAGGCTACAAAGCTTTCACTGGTGCTGCTTTCGCACTGTACCCACTTATTCATAATTATGTTCGATCGATTTGATGCTTGTATCCTTTACGTTAACTCATTGTGATATTTGCTGCTTTAGGTCTCATTTATCGTTTTACTTCTTTTAACTTGACAGCAAAGCCAAAGTGCAAATCAACTATGTGTTACTGTCAACATCTATGCCAATGGTTTTTTCACTTCCCTAACTCTCACCATTAACGTTTCGTAGTCAGGTGTCGTGTCATATGGTCGGTTTTATATTTCTTATTATTTATCAATCACCACGTGCTCTATCTGCATTTGGCACTTCCAACGATCCACTACCGTGCCACACAAATGAGTCTGTTGACTACGTCCCTAAGTACCGTCAACTTCCAAGTCTTTTAGTTGGCTGGTGCTGACTGCTATTCAGGGATCTAGCTTTAATATCATCATTGTTATCGTTCTACACGCTAACTGGGGGTAAAAAGTACCTCAGCTGTTATGCCGAGCTACAATTCAATTAGGTGACAGTACAACAGAATAGAAGGAAACAACAAAAGCGAAACAAAATAAAGCAAAATTTTTATTATCAACATGCTCTTGAAACCGGTCGAGAGTTCGTGACTTTAGCAGGGTTCAAACAACAGTTTGTTCACAAACCCTTTTAAAAACTAAATATTAATGCTTTGTTTTATACTGTGCACGAAGACTAGATTCCAGTTAGAGGGGAAAGGCAAGCGGCATAGAGCGAGATAAGCAATTTGGCAACAAAAACGCAACTGAGGTCGTATCTCCGCCTTATTACCATGAGTATAGACATGGTTATATATATATATATATATATATATATATATATATATATATATATATATATATATATATATATATATATATATATATATATATATCGCGTGCATGGCGCGATCTGATCACGAAGGCAGTTGCCGAGGTGCAGGAGAAAGTCCTCATGCATGCAGAGAAGAAGCGGCAAGTGCGGAAGCGGCAAACACCGATGGGTTGTTCTCCATCGACATCAACCGCATGGTGCTGTAGAATATGCGGTCGCGAGTGCCTTAGTCAAGCAGACTTAGTGAGCCATGAGCGAAGCCACTTGGGAAGCGACGACGGATCCTGCAAAGAACATAGGCAGAACCAGCGCAGCGTCTGTAGGTACGCT